AGCAGAGATAAGCACTTTGATTCGTTGGTGCTTTAGGACACGATAACTTTAGTTCTAATTAAGCGAGAGTGAAACCCCGAGTATAGATTCATTATATCATTACCATGACTAAGTTTGATGAGAATTTTCTGCTTAGACTAAAGAGCGATAAGCAATTTGATTGGTCAAGACTTTGGAACATAACAACTCTGCTTTTAATTGAGGTATAATGTAGAATGTTTAAAATTAACCTTGATGTTCATTAAGTGAATGTCTTGACTGGGTTTAATGATTAACATTTCAAGCTAAAGCTAAGCAGTGCTAAGCAATTTCTTTTACTTTGATGGAGAGTGATGAACCTTAGTGTATAGTTGATAATAAGTTAGATTGCTCAATATTTTTGAGAAAGATAGACATGCATTAATTAATATGTTTCATCTATTTATTTCGGGATTTCGGCGTTGGACATCAGCCTCGCTGTTGGCTTGTTTTTCAAGTTCATGTTTTGTGTGATTTCGGTGGTGCTGGATTGTCAGCCCGGAACGTCCCGAATTGAGAGAATTGCAAACAAGTGTTACGGAAATTCAGCCATGTCACAGTTCTGTCAGTCCCAACAGCTAAGGTGGCGTGAGTAGAATCGTGAGTATTTTAAGTAGCAAATATGTTTCAGCTGTCATGATTGGTTGAGATATTTTTAAGCTGTCGACATGTGCGTTGCACTCCGAAATTCTACTTTTCACTCGATTGACACTATTTTTTGGCATTGAGAGAATTTAATTCCGGAACGTTCAATCGAGTATACCCTTTGCTAATTGGTTTTTTAAAAATTGAATTATGACCCGTTATCAGTGAGTAGAAATTCGCCCGTGTATCTGTTATCGCTCGTTACTTCAGTACGTTATATAGTAGGGTAACTCTTTTCCATTTTTTGCGTCACTTCCGTTTCTTTTAAATCTTCCTTACGTATCTGTCGTAGCAAAACATTAAATCTTCCTTACGCATCTGTCGTAGCAAAAGATCTCTGTGTTAAAATTATATTTGGAGTGTGTTTAACCAGTTCTATCATATGTGATTATGGCTGACACCAATATTGTCTTTTTCACCAATAGAAGACACGCAGTGGGTTAACCCCGAAACCAAACCACGTCGACGATGATTAGGTTTATTAAATGGACACTCAATGGAACTACTTTATGACCACTGTAGCACATTAGTTGATATTAAAGTGTTATTTACTGGTCGGGTTATGACACCTGTAGTGATTATTAGATTAAAAATGAACGATGGGTAGTCCTGAAATAGCCTGAGTACTGACCATTCAAGTAGCTTCATTACCCTCTTGAGTGCCGTTAGCTGTTGGATATAATTCTGTTTATCATTCACTGATATGTACTTGATTGCTATGTTCAAATTAATGGAAGTACAAATAACCTTTGATTAATTGATCCAGATTGTATTCATTCTTGGATTGAACATAAAATCATTCAAATTTTATTTATATCTTCATCTTCGTACAAACCTATTATTGTATCCCCCACCCCCCTACAAATTGGCTGCGCATGTTAAACCCACCAAGAAGAATACGTAGGAACAAATAGGCGTACGAGCCAGGGGGGCGGGGGGGGGGGGGCAGCTGCCCCCCTAACTTTCGGGCAAGCTGACTTCTCGGGCAGACGGGTAAAGTGAAAAAAAAATTATTTTATCTACTTGGCAAAATAAAGTGCCCGAAATCTAATAAAACACTAATTTTACGGGCTGGAATAGCAGTAAAACGCGTTTGCGGCCGTCAAATATTCCAATTTTTTTCTTGGGGGGTCCTTACAAGGTCAGCTCCGCTTCTTCGCCTCTCGAAGAAAACCGCCGCCGCTGTCTGTAAACCTGAAATCTTTTAGGGCATTTCTAGTTTTGCTTCCCTAAGAGTCATCGAGCCTTAATAAAACACTAATTTTACTTAGCTTTTAATTGAATACCACGAATTTGTACTGAGTTGACTATGGATTAAAACATTTTGTCTGGAGCCACTCTACTTTGTGCGACATTTTTTGGGTATCGATTATTATTTGGAATGCAGCTGCAACAGTCTGATTGGATGGTTGGAATTCAGAATGGGATTTCGGTTACAAAACCATTGGGTACTTTTGGAGTTGCTTACACGGGCTAGAATAGCAGAAAACGCATATGCGGCGGTTAAATTTTCAAAATGTTCTCCATGAGTGTGAGACCCCCATACCCCGCGACAATTGATTGGTTGTTTGGAATTCGGGTCAGCCAGGTGGGCTATATTGGACCAAATTGAAGTTCCGTCTTTGTGGACTGTAAACAATTGATCTTTTGATTGGAATTCGAGTCAGCCATCTTAATTAGGCTATAATAGACCCCTTTGAAGTTGCTTTGTTCACGGACTGAAATAGCAGGAAAACGTGTTTGCAGCCGTCAAATATTCCAAAATTTTCTTGGGGGGGGGGGGGGTCCATACAAGGTAAGCTCTGCTTCTTCGCCCCTCGAGGAAGACCGGCGCCGCTGTCTGTAAATCCGAAATTTTTTCGGGCATTTCGGGTTCTGCCCCCCTAACTGTCATCGAGCCCGTACGCCTATGAAAATGATCACGGATTCAAACAAAATGACTCTAGTAATAGACTTAGTTAGATCTTATCTAGAGCAGACCAACAATAAGCATCCGATTTAATGTTTATTTGTTAGTCAAACGCAAGTTTAAATTGAGCTCTCTCAATTTATGTCAGAGAAACATGACGTTTCACTAAAACTAATCGCTTATTCTTCTCTCTCGTCCCGACAGATCAGTCGTTCTATAGAGATTATTGTCATTGTCAGTGTGTCTGTAAATCAGTATAATCTAGGGTAGGATAAATATCTCAATAACACCTAACACACCTTTGTCCCCCCCCCCCCCCCAGGGCATGTTTTTTTTTTCTAGATGGCTATACATGTACTTCACTGACCACTATTGTTAAAGACCAAATATACATGGGGGTCACGGTGGCTAAGTGGGTAAGACGCTGGCTCGCTAGCCTGGAGGTCAGGTGTTCGATCCCTGCATTGGCCGAGAAAGTTCATCTAGATTTTCCGGCGTGGTTCCCCCTTGTCAGTGACGCAGGATGAAGGGTCTGACATAGCAGCTCTCTAGTCGTTCGGATGGTATGAAAATCCGAGGTCACGTGCACATATTGGCGTGAACGTAAAGGATCCCCTGGCGGGAATTCGGTATAATTTCCCTCATAGCACACTGTATAACGTATGCCCGTCTCCATTAGCCCATGTTAAACCCCCATTTCATTTCCAAATATACACACTATGTGTTTGAATTTTAACGCGATTTGTTGTGGTGAAGCGAAATCTACAACGTTTTATGGAATTTTATTGACTGGTACAACCAATAGCTTCCCCCCCCCCACCCACCCAACTACCACGACCGGCAAAAAAAAATATAATTTGGAAAATTTGACGGCCACAAACGCGTTTTCCTTCTATTCCAGTCCATGAATACAGCAACTTCAGAATGGTCTAATATCGCTTAATTCAGGTGTCTTGGCTCGCATCCCAATCAACCTACCAATTGTTTACAGTCGACGGAGACGGGAGAAAATTTAACTGCCGCAAACGCGGATTCCTGCTATTCCAGCCCGTGAATACAGCAATTTCAATATGGTCCAATATAGCCTACCTTATGTGGCTGACCTGAATCCCGAAAACCAATCAATCGTCGCGTGGTTTCGCCATCCCGGGGAACATTTTGAAAAAATTAACCCCCGCAAATGCGATTTTCTGCTATTCTAGCCCGAGAGTTAAGCAAATTCAAAGTTTTCCAATTGTTTTGTAACCGAAATTCCATATGCCGACCTGAATTTCAGCCATCAGACTGCTGCAGATGCATTCACAAATAATAATCGTTGCCCGAAAAATGTCGCACAAAGTAGAGTCGCTCCAGGCTAAATGTTTTAATCCATGGTATTAAAATTAAAAGAAGATAAATTTAGTGTTTTATTCAAACTTCAACTTTAAATACTTCTACATGGTTCCGGTAATATAAGTATTATTATGATTTCGTCATTCATTTTTACATCGAATTTGTCGACGGATTTGGTATTTAGGAAGGTCAATCTTTCTTGGAAATATAACCGATATACAGAAGCCGGCAACTACTCAAGTCTATGAGTGCCATTTGCTTATAGACCTAAGATTTTCCACGAAAACATTTTGGCATCCAACAAAATAAGCCAACATAAAAAAAACAGTAAAATAAACAATTTTATTTTTAACCCAGCCCAAAGAGCTCTAGCCAGTCTGGATACATATCTGAACTACAGATACTTTACAAGTGGCATACATTATGGTCAATAAATAGCCCTGTTGGACTAGGGGACAAAGTCCAAAAATAGTTCATATTGGTTTTAGATAATTTGATTTAAATGGTTTTAGATAGCGAACCTGAAACATAGCCATCTAGGATATCTTTACCCACCGGATGCCCGGGTTTACGGTATATCCTATTTTTACCGTAATGGGGTTAATACAAATATATAAAATCATTTTAATTTAGAGTACTTATGGACTGATTCCGCATTCACAAATGACAACTTTTGGGGGTCTCTCCAACTGTCAGGTTCCCCAAATACCTGGCCTTTAACAGGTTTTAATAACAATACACTAACCTCAATAACTAATTAACCGACTGCTCCTCATCAATAATGCAGCGAACCAGTGTCGCTGTATTTTTTTATTTATTTATGTATTTATCTACCGTAAACATAGAAGTACCTGTTCTTTATCTACTTTATACAACATGCTGGTTTACTGTCAAATGCCATAAACATGTTGATTTATTGCAGGAGTTGAATTGAGGATATAATATTGTGTCATTTGAGAACAAAAGATGATAAATTGTCACATACCGGTACTCTTATTCATATTCCTGACCCCATACACAAAAACACAACACACTGTACCCAACATTCTGTGCTTAGGAACAATAAATTAATCAAAATAAAGAAAACCCAAGTAAATAGAAGGGAGATTTTTTATTGTCAATTAATTTGACATATTTATAAAAAGATTTTAACAATTTATAAAATATACGTGGAAAGGATCCCTCCGATATAAAAGTTAGTTTGTGTGGCAAGCAAAAAATCTCTACACCTATAATAACTAATACTAAAATATATTACCCTTCTTGACAAAACCAAACCCTTTTCCCAATTAGATTAAAATCAGACATTTTTCAATTCATTTTCTTTCCTATAATAAATTTTAACAGACTCAATTTTACTTATCAATGAGTGGTGTTCATATTTGTGTACTGTAACCTGCCAATAAAAGCTTGGCTTTTCCAAGAACACCAAGATATTTAACCTTACATGGACATGGTAGTCCTTCTGAATATGTTAGATCTAATAAAGTGTGAACAATCAATCACTAATTTCAATAACTGAATACTTTTAGGAGAATTGCAAAATAACAGACAAATATGATAACATAAAATGTGCTGAACAAAATTAATGTCCAAACATTTCATGGGAATTGGTTTTGTCAAGATGGTGAAGGATGATTCTATGACAATCTATCAATGTACATTAACATCTTATTCTTAAGTTAATCACTTGATAATCCAAACATTTTACAATTATATAATATACAAATTCTATGATTTATATAGTTTAATTTAATCTAATTTCAAATTATGACAGTTTTATTTGTACAGAAATCAAAATAATTGAACCGGAACAAGATTAAATTTTGAATTTCCAAAAAATCTAAAAACATTTCAATATTACTGTTTAATTATAGTTTACGAATGTCAAAAATCTATAAAATTTAATTCAAGAATAGATCATTTAACAGTTCAAATGTATTTTACAATTTACAAGGATCTTGGTGACAAAAACTAGGATCAAAATAGCCCCAAGGCGTGTTCCAGTATTTCCACTGGTGAGATTGCTGTTATGTTAGCCCTACGGGAACCATCAAATGTCAGACGTATGGTTTGCTTGATGCCTGGCTTATCCAGATTTATTTGGTTTAGTAATGAGATATTACAGTGGAAATACAAGGTCTGTCACGGATGGGTTCAACCCAGCATCTTCAGATGTAACAGCATTATTAATGTACATCTTATTATTTTACTAATGGAATGCAACTAAAAGCTAACTCATAATGAAATCGATTAAAAACATTTCAAAAATATACTTTCCTTTCCATATCTATGTAACACCACCCTATAGTCACATGGACTAATCCATATTACTTGGAATTTCAATCAAAGAGGATAGTATTACCATATTCAAGAGGGGTGTTCATACACAAAACATACAGCACTTAAAATTTATGGAATGAGACTAATTATTAAATTGATGGAATGATTTTTTTTTTTTTTCAAATTATAAAAAAATTCTACCTTTCAATTCTAAATACTGTTCAAGTTAATCATTACAAAAAAAAAAAAAATTAATAGACAAACTTTATCAGAATTAGTATGGGTGGCTTCTTATGAAATATTCACAGAAGCCATATCTTAAGTTATCCGAGGCCTAATGATTTTGAATAACATCAAGATTTCATAAGTTGGTATTTTAATTAAAATAAGATTACAAATTCTATAATTAAACTTTATATTACTAAAATTCAAAGAGATTTCATTACTTTGAATGACAAAGATTTTTCCAAATCTCAAAATTTCTAAATGGAGATTTTTCTAAATCACAAAAGTTCTAATTTCACTTCAAATACAACAAGGAATGTCGAAATGATTAAATTTAATACATAAAAATGAAATTCACAAAAAAAACTAAGCGTAAATAGAATCTATATGTATATATATATATATGAATAAAAATGATGAAAAATTACCACAAGACTAACACCTTTCGCACGTGTATAAAAAAAACAAAAATAAATAAATTTGTTGATAAATTATATACACGGAGGGCATACTATTAGTCGTTTGTGGAATAACAAATGCAATTGCAAAATTCTCAACCAAGTTTTCTACACCAAAGTAAAACTATTTGATGCAGACAAAAATGGTGGAAAATTCTGAATCGCTAAATTTATATACACTATATACAAGAATATATATTCATTCTATTATATACTATAATTTATCAACATATAAAAACAGTCTTTATGAGATGAAGTATAGGTCAAAATGTATAAATTGTAATGGAACTTAGCAGTACAATTTTCACACTTTGGCATCCTTATGACTCCATAATCATACGTTTTTATATATGTTGATAAAGGTGCCTTTATTCAAATTTGTGGCACATGATATCGCAAGAAACTGAATTCAACATAGTTACAAAAATATGTAAATCAATGAAAATTGAATAAAGGAAATGTTGGCCATGAAATTGAAACTTGAAATAATGTTAACTAAGTTAGATAGATCTGATTAAAGTGAAAATAGATGTCAATAAACAGATGAGCGACATGTTGCGTAAAAAATTGATGTTACATTTGCAATTTCGATCGTATAATGAGCTCATTTTTAAGATACAAAACTTTACAAACAAAATAATTACATTTATACTCAAGTCGACACACAAGATTTTTGTTGATAATGTTATTTCATATACTAAAGCCAAACACATACAATGCAAGTTTTTGCTCAGTTTGGTAATGTTATTAAAGCATAGCAGTTGAATCTGAACAAAGCGCTGAGTCTGCTGATGTTAAAAAATGTCTGATGGTCAATGTGTACAAGTTACACACTATTTTCTTATTTAATTCTTTTTCTGAATAGAGGATTGTTTTTTATCTATTTTTATCGTGATCAAATCAATTTTATAGCATATAGGATGATCTCTAAGCTACTGTATTTAAGACTATCGATATTTTTCAAAGATTGACAATCTATTTTTTCTTTATCAAAATATATTTATAGCCCAGAATACATGAAATTATGACTATCTACTGATCTAGCAAACTATTTCCATATTAAGACAAAAAATCGTGGTTAACAAGTTGTCATAAACAAATACACTAAATCTAAATCTGAGCTAAAGGAAAGTTTCGGCAAATGAAAATAGCACTAATACAACACAACTAAAACATTCACACTTTTTGTTTCTCTTACAAATTTATAATCTATACCACAGCAATTTGTTTTACCAATATGACCAACCAAAATTTATTCTTTCTTAATGGGATTTAATAACATACTAGATATATTCTAAGGTGACTACTAATTATGTAAATCATATGAGTGACTTGATGTAGCTAATCCTTTATGAAGCTATATTTGTTGTATTACTGGATGACCAAGTCAAAACACCAAATCAGTAGTTTGAAATCCTTACCAGATCTCTCCTTTCATAGAATTTAATCTTAAACACAATAAATGCAGTAAAATTTATAGGTTTTTTTATGTGTAAAACACTTAAAATTAGATCTATAAATTGAGATAATGCAAAATAAATTTGACAGGTGTCTTGCTTATCCAATATGCTACAGAATGAGCCAAAGAAACTAACTTAGTAGTAAACTAAGGTGAAGGCCACAATGGACTGTACTCGACACAATATCAGTGACTACCATGTATACTCAACCATACAGTATGATAGATATTACACATAATTGTAAAATTCTTAATTTGAACTTTTCAGACTAATATTAGTAATTGACTGGGTTTTATTCAACACAAAATAATACAATATCTTAATTTGATTGTGGATGATTTCAAACTGACTAGTCAACTAAAAATTGCAAACTTTGTCTTTTCTTAATCTTTACATTATAAAAATAAATAACCCCTTTCTACTAACTAGTAAATGCTCAGATATCTTGAATCAAATATTCAGGAAAATGATTTTGTTTGAAATATATTATTATTCACAGTAAAAATTAACATTAAATTTTGCAACAATTCTGAATCTTCTTTTCATGTACAGAATTATGTTTTTTCTCCTATTATGTAGTTGCAGCTAGTCAAAATATTTGAGCAATTCCTAGTAAAACAAATTTTATTCTTCTCTTGTGTATCAAACATCTTTTCTTTTTCTCAATTTAAATTAAAATTTATACTTTTAAATAAATATTAATTCAGTAGCGGATTTATAGAAGAAATTATTACATACACAGTTAATTCATTCCAAGAAAAATTATCAAATATATATTATATTTCACACCGAAATTCAAATTTTAAAATTCTTTAATATACAAATAAAATATACATGTACTTATATTAATTCACAAAAAAAATAAAATTCTAACCACAACATATTTTCTATGTCATGATCTAAAGTCACAATTAAAGTTTAAACAGCATGTGATACAAATTCTAATTTCACAACGTTTAAATGACAATATGATGTCACATGACATGTCACAAGAACAGTAGCATCATGATACAGTATAGGATGACATGTCATGCACCTATGACATTTATCTCACAACATAGTATGACTATATCATCTCATGTCACTGCATAAAGTGGCATACTATTACAACATGTTACATATCACATGGCAACATGTCAAAATACAACAAATATATCATATGAACTAATTGTCTATATTTTACCATCAATTTATTACAGGCTGTACGTGCAGCAATCAATCTTTATTAAAGATATAGATAAACAAACCATGGAAAACAATTAATACTGGTTGTTTGTATCACCGATACATCAAGTATTTTGGATATTTTTAACTGATAAGCAACCAATTAATTCAGCAAATATCAGCCAGATGTTCTTTAAGATCAGTCCATTTTGAAAAGGAATAGACTGAGCCCCTTTTTCCACATAATATTTCCATTGTTAATGTTTCCAATATTTAATCAATATCCTACAAATGATTTGATGTCATCAACATTTGATTCATATATAGAAATGAGCAAGGCAGCGATTGAATGAAGGTCATAAGGTCATGGTATATAATAACATTATAGTCTATAGCACTGAGGTTCGATTAAATCTGGGTTTCGTTTCCGTTCCGCACAGGTGGCGCTGGTGGTTTCTTGTCCATATACACACCAATGAAAGAACCGTCTTCATTAAATTTTCCCATATCCTCTCCATCACCATATTCTGCGAGACTGTCCTCATCTTCGTAACTTAAAGGTTCTTCGGTGAATTGTAATGGAGATCCCTTCTTTTCCATACCATTATCATCACTAGAAAATAAATAAATAAACCATTGTCATCACTAGAAAATAAATAAGCAAGCCAACAGTGACACAGAAAAAGCTCATTATCGAACTAAGTCAAGGTATTGATGTAATGAAACTATACACCAAGTTTCATCACTTACTTAATTAGAGAGAGAAATGGGGTTTAACGGCCACTTGACAAACTAGGTCATTTCAGGAGCAACATATGGTTCAATTTTATTTCAATAATTTGCTTGTGCGTAGGGGTCTTTAGCAGTCAGAGAAAAACGGAGCACCCAGAGAAAACCCACGAGGTTGACAGGCAACCCAACTCCTCTGCTTACCCTAAAAAGAAAATTCTCATCTTCTAACTCCCAACTCCATCAAGGCATACACCTAATAAACACCTACACTAAGTTTGAGAGAGAGAGAGAGAAATGGGGTTTAATGTACACTCGACACAAACTAGGTCATTTTGGGACTAACACATGGTTCAATTTTATTTCAATAATTTCGCTTGCGCATAGGGGTCTTTAGCAGTGGGAGGAAACCGGAGGACCCGCAGAAAACCCACGAGGTTGGACTGGCGAGCCTACTCCTTGTCACGTACAACCGGGGAATCGAAACCCGCCAGTTGACTCAATGACAAACCGTATGATACAGCGCAGCGCACATGCTAACCATTCGACCATCCAACCCTGACACCAAGTTTGAATGTTCTAGCTCAATTAGAAGAGTTATTGTGTCCCAAAAAGTGTGATGGACGGACGGTGAGGGACAATTAAAATGTCATATGGAGTGTTGAAGGCTCATATGAGTTACTAATGTGGGGCACAAATGTCATGGAAACTTTGACTAATGACTATAGTATGATAAATATTTGGTTCCTTAACTGGGCATTATGGGAGATTAGATATAAGAGTTGACAGTTCTTGCTATAATAGTTAAAAAAAAGATAACGTAAATAGAATATTCTGAAAATTTCAGTCAAATGGCTCCACACTCTGAAACCAGATATTAGCTATTGAATTTTAAGCTCGCGTCGGTCATTACTAAAGTAGGTCTTATGAAAAACAAAGTCTTGATTATCCATTTTTACGTTTAATTATCATTTGCAAACTGTATTCAAATCCGTTAAATATCGCACGCTAGTGATGGCATCGAGAGTTGATTATGGTTGGGATAAGTTAATTAATACCTAATTAATAACTTAGATAACATTTCAGGCCTAAAGAAAGACCTCTTGCATAATGTATGTTTACGGAACTTTGCTAGTGGTGCTTATTTGTGACTTACATAAGGTATTCTTTAGAATTTATTAGAATTTGGTGGAAACTGGGGAACTTGGTTAGGTCGGTGACCCAACCCCTGTCAAGTACAAATCTGGGATCAAATCCATAACTTGAATAGGTAAGTAGTAGTTATTAGCACACTTTCTGAGGTGTATCGGTGAATATCAGGACAGTTTTGGTCGAGGGGCCCAGCCGAGGCGGCTCCCGACCAAAACTGTCCTGATATTCACCGATACACCGAGGAAAGGTGCTAATAAGTTACTTACATCACATTTCTATCGAGTATTGTGAAGCAAAATGTGAAAAATAGTATTTATTATCGAGTCATTTCAACCGAAAAGTGACAAATACTTTCTGCTCTTTCATTATTTATCCCTTTCTGAGCCTCCCGTTACATTTCATGGTAGAATGATTTCGCAGTGGAGAGAGGACCTGAGTAGTATTTACACGTGCGTCTTGCTATGAGTATGATACTCTGAGCGTAAAACAATCACGTGTTTGTTTAGACCACATGTCTATGTCGTAGAGGACTGCGATATTATTAAATGTAGTGTAAAGGAAATGCGAAACGTGGGTCATTCCTGGTAAAAGTATGCATCGGTGGATGGTTCTTCCGTTGAAATTTATTTGTAATAAAGTTTATGACTTTCTAGGCGTTTTTTTTTTTCATCCTGCTTATTTTCAATGCCTGTGAAGTGTCCAGCAAGAGAACTGCGCCTTCTATCACAATTAATTAAAATAATTATTCAATATTCTAATTTATATATTTTGCATATTAATATAAATCAAACCAAATTATGAAATAGATGCCAATTGATATGTATAATAATTGATTTTGTAATATGTTGTTATGTTAATTTAATTTAGTTTTTGAACTGCCATGTAGTTCCCCCCCATTTTGTTTTGTTACTATGATTTTGAATAGTTGTTTCATGTACATTGAATAAGAGACAGCGTTATCAATTGCGATCTGGGTCGGACTAAACGTCCGCTACTTATTGCTGGATAGGTATCTAAAACGGTGTAAAAGTATCTGTGTATCAGAAATGAACAGTACTCTTTCTGTACATTTCTGATACACCGATACTTTTAGGCATGTAATGCAAATAAACAGGACAGTTTTATCAAAGGTTGCTAGTGGCAACGAGTAGAAGTGGGATGTAATGTACATTAAGATCCACAGCTAATGCAGTCTATCACTCATCCACAATATCCCTAACACTAGCAGATGTCACACCAGACAAGAGTATGCTTTCTCATTCCAAAAAATCTATTAGTACTTTGTCATGGAAATAACAGGTGAAATAAAATGGGGTTTAACATCCTACTTTTCTGCACGGACAGTGTTAATGAAGACTGGCATACGCCATACAGTCAGCTATGATTGAAATTTTGACCAGACAGCAGGGTTACGGTCTACTCTTATTTCAAATTCCATGGGTTATTTTACGTACACGCAAATGTGTAGACAAGACCTCTGTTTTTCGTGCCATTCAAATGACTAGACACTGTCCTTGCCAGATCCTGCACCAACCACTGACATGGGAAGCCTGCACCGGAAAGTCCAGAGGAACTTTCTCGGCTAGCTCTGGTTAGCGAGCCAGTCTTACTCACTGAGCCACCGTGGCTCTCCGAAACAACAGGAAAACACTTACGCTCGAGATAGATCATGGAATCCACTATCAGCTAAATCTTTCTCTGGATCTAAATCGTTGTCTCTTTCTTTCTTATCCACTGTAAATACAACCAATCACAAATTATAATATATAACATAAATTCTTACAAACTTCAGATTGTTAATAAAACAGAATTTGCTTTTTAACCCACAGAGGCCTATAATATTACTGTTTTAGCAATAGTTCTATTCAATAGTATTCTGATCTAATTAATCATCGAGAAGTCTCTCTAGTCAAAGTTGACATATAGAAATGGAGCATAACATCCTACTTTTCTGCATCAACAAGGATAATGAAAATGGGGACAAGAAACAAAGTATCAACTTTCCAGAATTTGGGTGGTCGGATATTTTCAAGCCTGAATCTACAAGTCAATAGGATTTAAAACTTGCCTAATAATGTGAGGGTGGGTTAATTATGAGGTAATTTCGAATCCTTTAACACCAAATTCCTACCGTCATGGCTTCTTAACTTGTATCCAGTCTTTTGTTGCATTTAAAAAACTAGGAATTTATACATTCTGTTTTAGTCATTCAGGAATTACCCATTACCTAACAAAAAACGCTGAAAGTTCTTGATACACTCTAATCATCTTCTATCTTGTTTGTGGTAAAATCAAGTGTACTTACATGGATAAACACCTTCCTGAGCTTTACGTCGACAGACAACACAGATAATAACTATAACACACACCAGTAATAATATACCAATAATTAATGCTATCCACCACAGATCAGGAGCAGCAGCAGTAGCTGGCCCAACAACTAAAATACAAAGTAAGGTATGTATATATTTTCATTTCAAATATACCTGTAACCAGGATAATCGCTTCCCCACTGCAATATTGAAATATAGTATAAATATGGAAAAAGGTTGAAAATAAAAGTAGAATCTATTAAATGTAAAAGATGTAAATTATTGTCATAAATAAAACTGTCAGTATCAGATGATACAAGACTATACTCGTCATATTCTACATACATGTATTACATGTAGATAGTCTGTATATGATTATCATATAATTGTAGCTTATCTACATAGAATTAATTAATTCAGAAAGAGATGTCAAGACAATGTGAAAATCTGACATCATGTGTACACAAGGGCTACAGTTTTTATTTTAATACATGTACCAAGCATTAATTGTTCAAGTTATTCCAAGATCAGGCAACTTTAAGCCCACGAAAAAAAAAATATGCATATGTGGAAACTGGCCATTAAAAAAAAGAGGAAATGAAATGGGGTTTAACGTCCTACTGTTTTGCACCGAACTGGGCTAATGAAGACGGGCATACGCCATACAGTGTGCTATGTGGGAAATTATGCCCGGACAGCAGCACTACGGCCTACTCTTATATCTAATTCCATTTGTCAAGGGATCTTTTACACGCATGCCAATGTGTACACAGGAACTCGGTTTTTCGTCCCATCCAAATGACGAGACAGCTGTCCTTGTCAGGCCCTACATCCTGCATCACTGACAAGGAGGAACCATGCTGGAAAATCTGGATGAACTTTCTCAGCCAATGCAGGGATTGAACACCTGACCTCCAGGCTAGCGAGCTAGCGCCTTACCCACTTAGCCACCATCACCCCCCATTAAAGAAAGATAGGCAATGAAACATACACCCACAGTAACTAAATCAATCAAGCGGTCGACAAGGATTGTCGCATATTTATTCATTTGTAGGTAAAGGGGGACATTTACAAGATTATTTTATACAGATCATATTATAATTTCCATCGTTTGAGGGTTCGAAAGGGTTCTACAAACTGAAACTAGGGCCTTAACTCTGGAAGTACATGTAATTAACAGAAATTGTTAAAATTTGACAGGATCTTTCATCTTACTAATTTAAATAATGCAGAAAACTTCATACAGATCGGATGATAACTTTTGTTGTGAGAGCATTCACAAGGTTCAATTCGTGAAGTAGTAAATGGGCAATTTCATACAGATCAGACGATAACTTCTATTGTTCGAAAGTTCACAAGGTTCAACAAAGTGAAACAAGGGCCATTACTTTAAACAGTATTAACAGAAATTTCTGAAATGCAAAAGGTTTCTTTTTTTCACTAATTTAAATGATGCATATAAATTTCATACAGATCAGATAATAAATTTTATTGTTCGAAAGTTCACAAAATTCAACAAAGTAAAACAAGGGCCATAACTCTAGAAGTAATTAAAAGAAATTGCTGCTAGTCAATAGGCTTCGATGTTTCACTAATTTAAAGGATGTATATAAATTTCATACAGATCAGATGATAACATTTCTAGAAGAAATTAACGGAAATTATTGAATTTTAAAAGGTTTCTTCATCTCAGTGATGTAAACAACATATATCAATTTCAAAACAATCAAATGATAAATGTTGTCTGTAGGATTTTCACAAGAAAGTGTGGACGACGGCAATTACGACCACATTTCCATGTAGGCGCATAAAAAGCTAAAACAAACTTACTTCCAACTTCTTTCAAGATAACTTGAATTGTAACATTGATTTTTTCATGTACATTATACACCATCCGTATGTACGTTCCATTAATAGTACGATAATCCTCAAACGATAAATCCTCTGTGTTGATGTATGCGAATTTAGATGTTTCATTGTAAGTAACAAAAGGTGGCTTATCATCATAAGTCTGATTGTTAAAGAACCATTTATACTGAATCGGCCATGGAGAGTTAGTCTGGGCCATAACAGTCAAATTGACGATATCACCTTTCAATATCTCCTGAACAGCTGGAGGTCTTGATGTAATCACAATGGGTTCTTAAAAAGAAAAAAAAAACACCTCTATCATATTATTTATATAGTAATCAAATGCTTGATTGCAATTCATGATAAAAATGGGCAGTGTTTGATTCATGATACAGATGGACAGTGTTTGATTCATGATACAGATGGACAGTGTTTGATTCATGATACAGATGGACAGTGTTTGAATCAGAATACAGATGGACAGTGTTTGATTCAGAATACAGATGGACTATATATTAAAGTTCAAAGGTTCTGCTTTTCAACTCCTACCTAACCACTCGTCAATACCTATAACTTCATGTTACAGTTTCTTCTTAAAAAAATTATGTTAAAACAGTGAAAATTGAATGATGGTGATTCATATTTTTTCAGTGATTATGACAGTGATAATAGACGTGTAGGTGTTAATAGTTCTATGTTATTAGAGTGTGATGGCAGTAATCAACAACTTATTTTTCTAGTTGTAGTACACATGTATACTGACCACCAGTGTATATATCTATACTATTCAAAAAAAGTAGGGGATATTTGATTTTGGGGGCATAATACTAAAATATGCAAATGACTACGAGAAAGTCACTATAGAACCTAACAGAAGAAACATTTCCAGTTACATGTGACGCCCAAATGCACCAATAGCTACCGCATGGAATGCAGGTGATGCTTGGGATCATCATGGGGGTCCAACCCAAGATTTGCACGACTCTGACTTTGAATGTTACAGTCATTGTGGCATTGAATTCCAGGGTGGAAACATCAATTTAATTGTTTTAGTGACCAGAAAACAAATTTTGATATGCGTCGGCTTACCCAAAATGTACAGGACAGACCACGCTCAGGTCGACCAAGGGCGACAACTCAAGCCCAGGATCGATTTATCCGTACCTTGGCCTTGGGAAATCGTGTCATCACAGCAAATCAGATCAGCGCTCGTCTTCAAACAGACACTGGTGTGAGAGTGAGTGGCCAGACGATTCGCGCCCGACGTCCTCGCGTGATCCCTTGTTTGAGAGATCATCACATTCAGACAAGACGTCGTTGGTGTAGGGATCGTCAACACTGGGATAATCGACGCTGGAGCAATGTGATGTTTTCAGATGAGTCAAGGTTCACTGTTGATTTTTTGGACAGACGTAGGAGGGTGTGGCGTCGTCAAAACGAGCGCTTCCAAGACGTTAACGTCATCAGACATGATCGATTTGGGGGTGGTTCTGTTATGGTGTGGGGAGGCATCACTGTTGCTGGAAGAACGGCTTTACATGTTGTTGCAGGGCGTGTTACAGGCCAGTACTACCGGGACAACATCTTGGCAGTCCATGTTGTGCCGTTCGCACGACGTCATGGCCGCCGTTTCATCTTCCAGGATGACAACGCAAGATGTCACAGGGCCAGGATCGTTACAGGTTACCTCCAACAACAGAACATCACCACATTACCTTGGCCAGCACTGAGTCCCGACCTCTCCCCCATCGAGCATGTCTGGGACATGCTAGGACAGAGGTTACGTCAACGTCAACAACGTCCTGCCAATGTCCAAGAACTTGCTGCTGCGTTGCAACAGGAATGGGACAATCTGGACCAAAATGACCTTAGACGTCTCATTAGGAGTATGCCACGTCGGATCAATACTTGTTTGGCAAACAGAGGAGGATTTACCCGTTGTGATGCTGTGGTAACTTTGCTGTTTGACCCCGGGTATCATTTTACCCTTATAATGGTCAGTCTGTGCCTTACTTAGTCTAACGATCATTTGGAATAAATCGATGAATGTGAACTTCATTTCATTTTGTCATTTGTTTCTTCGTCAGTTTCATTAGGTGACTTTAATAACACTTAAAAATCAAATATCCCCTACTTTTTTTGAATAGTATATTTTGATTTTGGTTGGGGATAGCAAAAATGAGATGCAGAGGCCCCAAATACGACCAACGCAGCCTTGAGCCGAGCACTACAGGTGCATGCTTTCTAGAGGGTTCGGGGGCATGCAATTTCCTGGATTTTCCAGAATTCTGATGGTCTGAAAACACTTCTAACATAAGTAAAATTGAGTACTACGCATAGGAATTGATGTTATTTATTAAATTCTTTTGCAAGAACAAACAAAGTACTGTGAATGCGTGATAATTACATCAAATACATGAATCTATATGGTGAATATACATAATTAATTAGCAAAGATATGACTATGTCCTCATATTTTCATCAAGCATCCGCACAAAGTCAAGTTTGACCATCAATTGGCGATTCTGTCAAGATCAGTCGCGTCCGTTTGGTCAACCTCAAACACAAGAGACAATAGTTCATCGAAGAGTTCCCATTTCAATACTGAACGCAATGCAGTTCTTATTAATTTGAGCTTTGAAAAAATGGTGCGTATTGTGATATCCAATCAAAGCAATCAAACATATACACAGATATATTCATACATAAATTAAGTATTTGGGATTTTTCCCTTCTATTTTGGCATTAATTTATTTAGTTGCCGATGCATAATTTTGATACCGACTGCACAGCCCTAAAAATTTATACCCCTGATCATGATGTGAATTTTTATAATGCTATGACATCAAACCTGTGGGCCACTTAAGGTTAAACAAGTTTTGAATCATAAAACGTATGATTCAAGTTCTATATCTTCAAATCATGCAATCAAAATGTGTGACAGTTGTGTAAGCTACCATACCTGATCTGGTGTGAGTAGAATTCAAGTAAATACTTGACACTGAGTCAGGTCAATGTTTTTTTTAAGTCATGATACCTGGTACCGCATCATTTGAATCTTGATTTAATGTAACACAAGAGAGACATCATAGGGATATTTTTTTATTGACTCAGTACATGTTTTGTCTGATGAAATTCTCATATTCACTCGATTGTCAATGCTCTTAGGGTTGAAAAAACTGGATACTATCAGGTTTGCTTTACCAGCTTGATATTAAAAGGCTTAAACTTACCTATGACATCCAGACATCCATCAGCAAATCGAAAACCCTCCGAGTTGCTAACTTTACACTGGAAGCATGTAGTATCATCTGGTTTTACAAGATTTGTCACCATCAATATCTGTTTATCATTACTGAACACATATTTACCACTGTCAACTAGAATTAGAAGATAAATACAGGTCAAAGGTCATGTAATATGGTCAAAATTTGGGAAACTTGAAATAAGACTAAAATGGGTCTAAAAGCATATTAATATATATGTATTATGAGTATATATTAAGTGATTTACATTCGATATTTAAATTTTTTGTTGTAATTTCTAATCAATTATATTCCATGAAATAGGTGAACAGTCAAATTGAACGGCAGATTTTTGTGCCAGCTTAGTCCATTCCATACAGGTTTTTTTAATAATTAATTTGTCATTTATGAATCCATGATTTTATAGTAGTTCGCCGATCGTTATCTCAACGGGAAAGCAGTTTTATTCAAGTTGACAAAGTTCATGTCATAAAATGATTTCTTTTTTGTACACCTTAGGGGCGTCCCCTTAAATCTGTGCCTGCTGACCTATTTCTTCTAGAGTAAGGCATTTTTCAAAATTATTTGTTAAACTCCTTCAAAAAACACCAGCTCTTTTTACAACAGCTTAAACATTGCTATTTTATTTAACTGTATATTCAAATAAGATCCAAGTGAAAATTTCTGTTTTAACCCACCAGCCAAGACTCCCAAAGAGCTTATGGCTCTTTCATAATGCCAATACTATAGTGTGGTTGGATATGGATTTTTGCATCTTAAGAATATTTGAAACTTACATTTATCGTTTGGAATGGGGGCTCCATTTTCAAACCATTCTGGGGGTCCTGGTGGATTCTCCCTTATTACTGATTTTGCTTGACAGGTCATACTAGCATCTCTTGTTGCTGCAACAGTAATTGACGATAAGGACTTTTCCCAGATAGGACGAGCTGGAATAAATATATGAACAATATATTGGATGTGTCACTTATTCTGTTTTATACATTTATATTTTCATGCCCACACCATAGAAAACAAAAGTGTCCCCTCCCCACAACCAAGTGCTCAAACAAATATTTGAATTGAAATAATTCTTCAAGACCTTTAAGTCGCTTGTAGAAACTAATATTCCTTAAAGATAAATTATTCAAGGGCTTAATTTGCCCATTGCAGGTCTTTCTTTAGGCCTCACATGTTATATACGAGGAAATTAATGATTAAGACATTTATTAACATAATGGGTACAGGGAGCGGCCATTTTGTCAGGCAGTTTGAATCAAATTTCATGAAGCGATGATACATTTAAACGATTTTTAAAATTGGAAAAAAATTGTGAACTCTAGGGTATCCGCAAGCTAAAATCGCGATTCTTAGGTACAACCAGGAAGTTACAGTCAGATATGCACAAATATCGAAAGAAAACTAGATCTTTGGAATGTAAACACGTTTTCAGTTTCATCAAAATTGTGACCACTAGAGGGTCCACAACCTTGATATTACATACTTTAACATTATTTGCGTACAAAGAGTGGCCATTTTGTTCGACAGTTAGGACCTGATTCGAAATTGGCCGTCATTATTGTGTAACGGTGATATATTCAAATGTTTTTTTAAATTGAATAAAAATTGTGAACGCAGGGGCTATAATCCAGGATGTTACGGTCCGATAAATTGGATAAAAAATTTGATATCTAGAGTGTACACAAGCTAAAAACGTGATTTATTGTACAATCAGGGACCATAATCAATAAAGTCATGGTCCATAACATGCCAATATCAAAAGGAACCAAGATCTTTTGGCAATAAACCTATATTTCAAGTTGTGTCAAAATCAGTTACAAATTGTGATCTATAGAGTGTCCACAAAGAAATTGTGGAAGGACGGACAGGGGCATCGACAATATACATCCACATGAAAATGTGAGCATATAAAAAAGGTTGCAGAAACTGTCCTAAAGAGTTTTTTTTAAAAAGAAACAGTTTAGAAACCGAAGTTCTGTAATTGTTACTTACATGTGACATTAAGAGCTGTTGTTGCTGTATTGGTTTGAGTATTTGCACCTTCACAAGTGAAAGTTCCTTCGTCTGACTCCTGGATATTTTTAACTCGTAAAATTCGTCGTGAAGTGTCGATAAATTCATATTTATCAGAGTTACTTGTAATTGCTTGTAACTCATTGTTTTTCCACGATATAGATGGTATCGGCCTGGAAAACATTTTTCGAGACTTCTGATTAAATCATCTATAAATCTTTTCAAAAACATAAATTTTCAGGGTCCAAAACATTAATATTGTTTAAGTCATGTGTTTAGATCATGGGAACATGAAAAGGGGCTATGAAAAATAGCAGAGGTCACCACACCTACCATAAAAATATCATGGAATTTAACAAAAACAATAAATATCATCAAATAATGAAAATTAACAGGGGCCATAATGTGACATCAAATCATCAAAGCTAACAGGGGCCATTTAACGAGAGAGAGAGAGAAATGGGGTTTAACGTCCACTCGACACAAACTAGGTCATTTCGGGACTAACAAATGGTTTAATTTTATTTCAATAATTCGCTTGCGCGTAGGGGTCTTTAGCAGTGGGAGGAAACCGGAGGACCCGGAGAAAACCCACGAGGTTGGACAGGCGACCCTACTCCTTGCCACGTACAACCGGGGATTCGAAATCACGCCAGTCGACTCAATGACAGACTTTATGATACAGCGCGCACATGCTAACCATTCAGCCATCCAACCCCCCCGGGCCATTTAACATGTCAAAGATAACAAGAAATGAAACGAAACGAAACGGGATTTAACGTCCTTCTGTTCTGCTATGACAAGGCTAATCAAAACAGGCAAACGCCATACAGTGTGCTATGACGGAAATTTTGCCCTGTGTTACGGCATACTCTTATATTGAATTACAATTGGAAATCTTTTATGTGCACTCCCATGTGTACACGGGACCTCAGTTTTTCATCCCACTAGAACGACTAGACAGATGTCCTTGTCAGGCCCTCCACCCTGCACCAATGACAAGTGGATACCATGCCAGAAAATTTTCATAAATTTCCTCGGCGACCTTTAGGTTAGTGAGCAAGCGTCTTACCCACTTAGCCAACGTGGCTCCCCAAAGATAACACGGGTCAAAAAGTGACATCAAATCATCAAAGATAACAGGGGCCAATAACATGACATCACAATGTGATATCAAATCATTCAAGATAGCAAGGGCCATAATGTGACATCAAATCAAAGATAACAGGAGCCAAAATATGACCTTAGATCATGAAAAATAGCAGGGACCATAATGTGACATCAAATCATGAAGAATAACTTTGTACTTACTTGCCACCAAAGATACATTGTATGTCAACATAATGTCCAATAAGAGCTTTCTGATTTGGTTTGCTATATAACACACTGGGTGCTCTATCTGGAATTGCTGGAACACAGAATACAAATAAAAACCTTTAAAAGATTTGTTTCTTCAAGCAAAATTAGGTCATCTGTTTTGTAGATAACAAAGTTTCTCCTAACATATCCTTTGGCAACCTACCTAGATTATGAAATTGGGGTGTAACAGTTATATATTTAAATGCTTGTTTTTTTAAAATTGAATACAAATTGTGACTTCTAGAGGGACCACAATCTAAAAACATGATACAGTCAGATACGCGCGAATATCAAAAAGGAACCAAGATCTTTGGGTTATAAACATACATTTCAAGTTTGTTCAAAATCGGATAAAAATTGTGACCTGTAGAGTTTCCATAAAGAAATTGAGAACGGATGGACAGACAGGGGGGATGACAATATATACGTATATATACGTCCACATGGAAGTGTGGAGGTATGAAAAGAAAACATTTTCCGTTAAATCAAACTTTACTGCATAATTATCTTATTGGTGTGTAAAGTGTAGTTTAAACACTTACGATTTAGTTTCGTAATCTCTAAAATCTTCCCACTGCCTAAATTAATGGAATTAAGATGACGATTAAAAATGGCACATTGATAATTTAATCCACTTAATTCATCAGCTTTTGTTACGTAGACGAAATGAAGAGTTCCTGAAAATATATAATAAGATAATAAATTGCATGAAATGGTCACTATTATAATAGTCAGGTTGTTAATGATTGGGATAAATGAGACTAAGCATGCCAGCATTACCTACACATGTTAACCCCTTTCTAGCTTATATGTAAATACAGAAATCCTTGAGTTTGTGATGTGGTCACAACAAACAGATGTTTTGTCCTGTAAAAAAGGGGAACAAGCCAACAGTGATTATCTATACTAAGTCTAAGCATAAAATATTCATAATCAAACTCAGTCAAGGTTTTGAAGTCAGAATCAAAGTTATCTTATCCCAAAGCATCAACCAATGAAATTGCTTAGCTCTGCTTAGCTTTAGTGGGAAATGTTAATCATTGAACTTAGTCAAGACATTCGCCTAATGAACATCTACATCAAGTTTAAACATTCTACCTCAATTAAAAGCAGAGTTGTTATGTTCCAAAGTCTCGACCAATCAAATTGCTTATCGCTACTTAGCCTAAGCAGAAAGTGCTCATTATTGAACTTAGTCAAGGTATTGATATAATAAAACTATACACCAAGTTTCATCAATCAAATTGCTTATCACTCTGCTTACCCTGAGCAGAAAATGCTCATTATCGAACTTAGTCAAGATATTGATGTAATAAAATTATACACCAAGTTTCATCACCATCATTAAAGTTATCGTGTCCCAAAGCATCAACCAATCAAATTGCTTATCTCTGCTTACCCTAAGCCGAAAATGCTCTTCTTCAAACTTCATCAAGGTATTCACCTAATAAAGACCTACACCAAGTTTGAACATTTACCTCAATTAGGAGAGTTATTGTGTCTCAAAAAGTGTGACCGAGGACAGATGGACAGACCATTATAAAAGTCCCATAAATATAGAGAGCCAGTTGTTGTTTTTGTGGATGCATCCTGATAGTTCTGCATTTTATAAATTTATTATCAAAGCAAACGGCTAAAAATATCATTTGTTTTAAACATTTGAATCCAAAATGGCGGCCTACATGAACAGAAATAACAACTCAAAATTGGATAAAGTTAGTAGTTCATCAGACAGTTGTATGGATTGGTTGTATCGTGTAAACGCCGCTATCAACCGTTTCATAATAATCTTCGATATATCTTCTGTCTAAATCCAATCAAAATGTCCAGGCTTTTCCACAAAAGCTACATGATAATAACAGCTTGATTAGTGGACTAAGGTATGGCCTAGATAGTATGTTAGTGAAAATAAAGGGTCACCGTCAATCAGTGGGGCTTAAAATCCACTTTTACCTACATATAGAGTCACAGTCTGCTGACAATCCATATAGTGTATACAACATTATTTGAAGTCATATGATGTTTCAATAAACCACAGTCCACAACATTAGTGTTATAGGAAAACTAACTGGGGAGCTTGTCTGTCAACCTGAACATTCCAAACTAATGGAATTACAATCACGGTTACAAATATCTTAGCTATGATACATGTATTAGCATAAACAAGTGGATTATAACACTGTTATCAAGGTGCTTGACGATTTTAGCGACATTTGTGATAAGGATCCGAGTATAAGACAGGCGTAGTCAAATCAGTGTTACATGTAGCCGTAGCGTTGTCAATAATAATCTTGCTATGTAGTTCCACTTAACATCCTATATTAACATGTATACGTACCCTCTGCATCTATAGCTATTCTGTCATCCTGTACAACTTCGCTACTTTCGTCGTTACCTTTATACCATTTAAACTGCCCAGGCGGATTACATAAAGGTACATCGTCACATGTCAGCTGAACTGCTTCCCCTTCTGTTGCTTGTATCCTTGGAGGAGGCAGACCTGTGTCCACCCAACTGTTTAGATCTGTAATAGAAGCATAAAATACAGAAACTATTCAAGTTTCAACTTCTCTCTCCTTCAATTAGATTAAAAGTTATTGTGTACAAAGCATTGACAAACAAACTTCTTATCCCTGCTTAGCCTCTGTGGAAAAAACCTCTTAATCCTCAAACTCAGCCAAGACTGTCACCTAATAATCATCTACACCAGCAAAATTATTGGGGACAATAATGAGTGTTTACCGGGATTCAGTGAAGGGAATTAACTCTATAAAAAGTGTTTATAAGAAGAATGTCTGAATAAAAACCACTCATGCAATATAATCACCAAATATTTGTCAAATAGGTTAATTAGAATTAATATCAGGTGTTTGATAGTTATACAGTGGACTCTGTCAAATCTGACATTGTACGGGATCGTTACATTACATGTATGTCGGATTACGCAGAGTGTCGGATTACTCAGTTTTCTTAAAACTTGAAGTATTATTATAACCTCGAAAACCGAAAATATTGTTATAATGTAGCTCCGAATCCCCAGAACGTTATTCCCGTCTATGTAGGTCGTGGAACTTTCTCGAAATCTGCTGTAAGTTGCTGCTGACATCTAATGTCAAGTCCGTTTGGGCATGCTTTGCAGGACGATCCCACATTTTGAACATAATATTGTATAATAATTCTTCTTCATCGCAGCAATTTTTATATCATGTCACCGTATTTGACATGACAAACTAAAATCAAATACCAAGCGCTCTCTTACAAGAGATTATAAAATTATCAAAGTAATCAACAAAGACGTACGCGAGTGAGTTTTAATCGCACCAATAATTGATTGGTGATTGCTTGTTAATCTTTTGTGGCTTCACACCCACCGATTGAAGGACGGATTATACAATGTTGAACCATGGAATTCATGTGACGGGCTGATTGATGTCTTAATTCGGAATATTCAGAATACGGATTACTCAAAGGTTTTTTGGCTGAAGTAATAAGGAAATATATCGGGACATAAAAATGATGTCAGATTTCACAGAATGTCTAGTATTCAGATGTCGGATGTGACAGAGTCCAATGTACTCTGGTTCATGCATAATATTGTCAGTACATGTTTAGTTGGTTTACGATAACCTTGGGGAGACATGCCACAATTAGTTTATTTTGACTAGATATAGATGTACTTACATGCCAAGTCGACTGTTATGACGGGTGACATGGATTTTATTGTTTTAGTTCCAATTTGATTAGAAGCGAAACATTGGTATTTTCCTATCTCTCTGCGAGATAAAGAGGCTATCTGCAGTTCACCAGTAATTGGATCTTGTTTTATATAGTCACTGACTATAGTCTGATCATCTTTCATCCATTCATATCTATAAATAAAAATAAAATCTTTCATTTGTCTAGGGTTAAACAATGTTGCTGAAACGTCTGAATTAAGTACATGTACATGTATGAGTCACCCGAGCAATCAAATTAATCAAGGATGAAAATTCAAGACAGTAATTACATGTATCAGAAATTGTTAAAAATCAGCAGGCTTCTTTATCTCATGAACATCAAAGTTAGGGCCATAACTCAAAACTAATTACAACGTATTTTAAATCATTGTCAATCAATAGGCTTCTTCGTCTCATGCATATAACTATATATATATATATATTTCAATTGGGTAATATATGTACCTTTAGTACCTTGAGCATCGACAATATTTTTCAAATTGATAAATTGTTACAATTCAATAGGATTTTTCATTTCATTAACATAAACACTGTATACAGTTCAAGTTAATTGGATGGTAACGTAAGCATCCACAACCAATAGTGTACAGGAATGACAGAAATATACTGAGCGCCATGGAAAACGCATCACTTTTTTTTCCCAAATATTTTATTACTAGGTGGTTTTGTATGTATAATATTATGCAATACTATGAACTATTGTTTCACACAATGCTCCCAAATGCAAAAAATATCGGCCCCTGTGCACAAAAAAAAGTGCACGAGATGCACATGAAAAACCCAATATTCACGTGCAGCATTGTGTGTGAGCCCTTTAAAAGCATGTTTTCAAATTAATGTGCAGTACATGAACTGTGAAACGTCAATCTGTCGTAATTTGTTGTTGGACGTGTGAAGGAATAGAGCTAGAGAAAATCAAAGGAATGAAGCCATTGGAAAGTCCCGGGCTGGCATGTCTACACATGCTATTGCCAGACACTTCAATTGTCATCAGTCCACTATTGTAAGGTTGGTGGAACGTGTTTGAGTTACTGGATCAACACATGACCGTCAACGTCCTGGTCCACAATGCGTTACAACCCAGGCTCAAGACCGCTACATCCGGGTCACTCATCTGCTTGACAGGTTCCGCCCAGTGACTCGAACAGGTGCAGCAGTCGTCAGAAGACAAGGACCAGTTTGTGCCAACCCCGTAAGACGTCGTGTAAGAGAAGTAGGACTCCGTGCACGATAACCTTATGTTGGAGCTATCCTCAGGGGTCATCACCGTCAGCGTCGTTTGATATGGGCTCAAGGACACCAAACATGGAGAAGAGTAGACTGGCAAAGTGTGCTCTTCAGTGATGAGAGTCGCTTTCATCTTTATCACGCTGATGGCCGTCAACGTGTGTGGAGACGTTTTGGGGAACGTCTTGAAGACTGCTGCGTCTTCGAAACGAATCGATGGGGAAGTGTAATGGTGTGGGGAGGTTTCACATTTCATCACTGGACTGCCCTACGCATTTGCAGGGGTCGCGTTAATGCTGTAGCCTACCGTGAAGATGGCTTGTGGAGGACACACGCGCTACTGATATCTGTGTCGTACTTTTGGTTTTGACCCCTCTGACTTTGTACCCTTGATTACAGATTAAACATCCATAAGTGTACAAATGTGTTGTTATTGATGTGTTCCCATTTGATTATTGCTCAAAATAAGAAGCAAAATAAATAAGATATGTTTACAGGATCATTTTGTTATACGAAAAACTAAGTGATGCGTTTTCCATGGCACTCAGTATATCACCACATATCAATAAATATACATGTAGATGTATAAAAATCAGAGACTAAATTACCAATGACAGACACCCCCCCCCCCCCTTATAGGTGTGCTTCACCAACTATATATTACATCTGTAAAAATTTCTCTTACTGAGCTTGAGGATTTGCTTCTGCTTGACATACTAATATCACTTCATCCTGGGCTTTGTAATATATTGTTTTCTCGACATCAGGTTCTGTAATCTTTGGAGGTAGAAGTCCTGTAATTGACAAACATTCACAAATTTACAAGTTAAATGGACATTACTAAACTACGTTAAAAATACATTAGAGCTTCACCATTTGAATTTGATTTACAGAATTTTACTCTTCTGAATGTTATTGGCTTCAATTTATAAACCCCCGCTCTAAAAACTATGCTTCAGTCAAGATGATGGCGGTCCACTCCTAAAAATATCAAATTGAATCAGATTTAATGTCTGTCAGCTAAAGCCATTTGGAGAGTAGGCCTAATATATAACAATTTTTGATTATGTCTACAATGCGAGGGGGTGAGGAATGAGTCCACCATCAGTGCAATATTTCTACGTATACCTTCTGCGAACTCCTATTGCACTATTAATTTCAATACAAAATCATGCTTTTGTTTGTCATCTAAAGAACAAGACACACTTCATTATTGATCCCACATTCTAAAGGTTCTAGACAGCCTACGCCAGGATTAAAACATATAATATTTTGGTTTGAGTGTTGTACATGTATTTATCGTAATCAAACAACCATATACACTTTTGTCCAGTAGAAAAGACAAATAAACACTTACTATTATTTTGTCCATAAGATATACAAAACATAATACTGAAAATTAATAACTGGTGCATTTTAATAATTGCCATCTCCTCTCACGTGCTGTTAAAAAGTCAACTAATACTGGAGTTATCGCGTCCTTAATACCACCTCAACAAACTGAAATAAAAAGAAATAAATCTAAATATTAATTGTTTTACAATGAATTGACATTATAGCATTCTTACAAGTTTAATTAAGAAGATCTGTCAATCACAGCCTACATGTGCATGTACCCAGCTTGATCTTGCTTTAACGCTATACATCTTATCAAGGCCTTTATGTAAATACCCTGATTATTACGGCACTAATTTGATTTGATATTCACCCAGCATGAGAACCTACATTTATCAGATTCCTTGATCATCACAAATACCAAGTCTCAGGCTTTCTAGTTAAAACGTTTGTTTAATATAAAGTTTTCCGGAAAGGTTGCTATATTTCATTTGAGTGTGTTACTGTCAAAACTGATCGGACAGGGAGAAAACATACATGTAGCTTAAGTTTGGAATTTCAAAGTAATCAGCAACGTACAGATGGGAGCTTGTCAGGCCTCTTAAATGCCTACAATCTGCAAAGTTGTTCATTATAAATTTAAAATCATTGTCAACAAATCCTATAAAGAAATGAAAATGAAATGAATGGGGTTTAACGTCCTACTCCGAACTGGGCTAATGAAGACGCCTATAAAGAGCTACATGTACATGTACGTAGTTAAAAATCTGTCAGGAAATCAGTGTAGCAATAAAAAATTGGAACGGAAAAACACTAATGTGAAATCAATTTGCAGTTCATGATCAGGAAATTTTAGAATTAAATAGGGTCCTTCCTTATGCCAAAATAAAAAGATAGGTTGCCTGGCAACAAAGCATTGAGCAGTTCACAAACGTTGTCAAACATTATTTCAGTTGTTGGTACATGTAATGAAAGCATATTACTAGACGCTAAAAACTGATAAAGAGTAACAAACCATGAAATATTTATCATTAGGAATTATTTGGCTTCTAGTTCTAACCCATGCTAACAGTTTCTAGTGCATCCACCTGATTTTTCAAAGTTATCAATGTACATAACTCTGGCAATAATCATCAGAAATTGTTGAAGATCAATAGGCTTCCACTTAAATGTAACTCTTGTACATGTAGTAATTTTTTGATAACTTTTGTCTTTAATAAGGGGGCCCACATGTTTTTTTGAAGTGATCAAGGACCATTACTTTGGCAGTAAATATTGGAAATTTGTTGGAAATCATTAGGCTTCTTTATTTCATGGCCTTGAAAACTGTGCGTAAATTTAAAGTTTATCAGATATTAATTTTAGCCTCTAGAGCCTCCAGAAGATTTTTCAAAGTGATCAAGGTCAATAACTCTGGCAGTAATTATCTGAAATTGGTGAAAATCACATAGCTTCCTTGCCTCATGACCCCAAACAATGTGTATAGTCAATAGGATATTGTTTGTGGGTGATGAAATATTTGTCTGGTGCGAGAAAGTCGGCCAAACCAGAAAGGAGTGATCTTTACAGGTTGGCGCCACATTTACCCCAAAACAGGAGAGACTTAAACCCAGTCAAAAGAGTTCTAGCACGAGTCACAGCTCCTAGCCAAGATATTGTCTGTAATCCCCAGGTGGAAGTAGATGTTAAATACAACGAACTACGACAACTACAGTGCTATAGAAAAGTGGGCTGGCTATAACAGGCTGACGGACAATAGTCATTTCCGTACTCTATCCAACATGGTTATATGCCTGCATATGTTTACATGTATATCCGAATGCTGACTATAACATCAGATAGTCAATAAATATATTTTATAAGTCTGGTAACATTGATGTAATAACACCAGCATGTAGCAGGGTTCAATTTAAGTGGTATCACATCCCAAAAGGCGATTCGAATCACCAAGCGATAGAAATATTTTATTGATTAGCCAAACTTCCATTCCAAGAGTCTGAAACGCGATTCATACAATCTGTAAGAAATATTTTTATTAGAATTTCATTGTTACATTAAATTCCATTGCTTTCTTTACACAAGTTCACTGAAATTTCCTTCTTTTTTATCTCCCAGATAGAAATTTTTAACTTTGTCAATAAGGACAATATGAATGGTAAATCAAACCATGCTACGTATACCCTATTGTACCATTGGTTGCTACATGTACATGTACAGTAACTGTAGCGTTACGTAACTACATGTACATGTACATCCCGAGTTATGTTATCGGTATCTTCCAGTGCAATACTATACTATGATTTTCTAATAGTATTCATGACTACCTAAAGCTTGTGATCTTGCTTATGGTACCTAGCTTGTACCCGTTAAATTGAAAATGTTGTCTAGTAAAAGACAAAGTATGGGGATAAAATTGGCCATGATTTATTCATGGATACATACAATGTAAGTATGATAAAGAATGTTAGTGGTTGGCATATGAGTTAGAAACTGGCGACATTGTCAAGTTATGAGCATGTTATGCTTGAAACATGAAAGTAAAATAAACGGTATACAGATGTTTCAAAAGCAACCCTTGGAAATCTAGTGCATATTAAATGAGAGGGACCACCAGCAAAAGAGTTTGAGTCAACTGTGTTGAAAAAAACTTTCGAAAATCAATACAACCAAATACATGACCTTCCAAAAAATAGATTTTGTCAATAAAGTGATTGATAAAAATTATTAATGTTGTTTATTACAAAGTTAAATTTTTGTGACATAATCAAAACAGCAGTGATCTTCATTTCTCAGGAAATGCTATTCAAATTTAGAATTGATTAGCCAAAAAGTTGGTCAAAAACATTTGCTATTCAAAAGTTTCAGTCTAAATTGAAGCCTGGCATGTAGATATTTAGCAGTATACCATGATGATTGTGGTGGTACAACGTACATGCCCATAGCAAATGTAGGTCTACAGTAGTTCAAATCCCTGTTTACAATAATTAGACTATTATTATAACACTTGGTGGCAATGAGCCTTAACCTTTTCCAGGCCAGGATAAAATTGTTAGTCACTCAAGCATGAATAAATGATTTGGGCTAATCTTGATATTGCCCTACGAAAGGAGACAAAATCAAAGTGATATCGTTTATAAATACCTGTAGCCTACATATACATGTACAAGGACGCACAGAAAGGATCAAAGGTCCAAGCCTAATAATGACCCATGCAAAGAAATGTGTACCAGGAAATGTTCCATTCTAAGACCGGATAGCTTTTACACTACCAAAATGTTACTGTGCAACACCCAGAACCGTACAGAGACCACCTCACTGCAGTGGTCCAGATTTGCACAGTTCTCAGTACGTCATGCTTATATTCGACCCGTTTACACTACAAAACAAGCGGTTGTCATGCATGATACATCTATGCCCACATTTTAAAAGTGATGGACAGAGAACAAGCTAAAAAAAGAGGCCATAATCCAGGATATTACAATCTGACATACATCACAATATACGTCCACATGAAAATGTGAGCATACAAAAATTAACTACCGGTATTCAGTTCTCGGCATAGTTCCTGGCATGTAAACAGGCTGTTTAGAGTATGATTATGGAGTTTTACACAGTTCAGATTTTGAACATATAAAAGTTTTATTGTCTGTAGGGCATGTTATGAAATTGTCAATTCATCATACATGTATCTTTGTACATTTACATACATGTACCGACAGAATTCAAACCATTTTTGGACTGATATTCCTGTTAGAGATTCCACTTTCACAGTATTGTAGTCACAGTATTGTAGTTTACAATACAAGTGATCAACAATCCCTCAAATGATGTTCATGTATAGATGCTTTAACAGTAATACAATTTAAGAAGTAGCCAGCAGTTGTTGATACATATGTACCTACTAGTTACCATCTATATTTCTGCTGATCCTAGACAATATAGCCACAGTACCATATATATTTACCGTAATGATATAGATTATTTCTATCAAGTAAGGCTAATGGAATTTCAAGAATGCAGTCTTTATAGATTATAAATATTGACTTGTTCAATACATCTAAAATTTATAAGAAATGTAACCACTATTATAGAGAAATACCAGATACTAGGATTCTGTTGGCATAATTACATGAACATACATATCACACATCTTGTTTCAACAATGTCTATGGAAAATATTGCAATGGAAATTTATATCATCACTAACTGATTAAAATCAGATGTCGATTACCTTTCGAGAAAGAAATTATATCTCAATGATTTTAAAACGACATTTCATTCACAAATAAATACTTCATGTATTAATAAATACCGGGTATGTGTTAGACTGTAATTAAATGTAAAAACAGTTTGGAAACCGGTTCGATTGGGGTTGATCTAGACTTGATCCTTAGGCCTATACGGAAAAGACCACTTTGAATGCAGCTTACATTTACAGTACTTCAGAAACAAATTAATAAAATCTCCTGAACTAGCATCGCAGATCTTCCCCATGCATCATAATCACAAAACTCTAAAATTCTAATTAAATATGAAATTAGTGAAACTAATTTGATTTGTTTCCCATAGTAGTTCAACAAAACTGTTGGAAGTTCCATGGTTTGACCTTTCTCCCACTAGGTGGCGACCTCCACTGTCAATCATTCATGCTGATTGACAGTTCAATAAAGAGATAAGGGGACATAACTCACAATAAAAATCGTAAATGTCATGATTGTAACATTAATATTTATAAACGTCCAACTGTGAGAAAGTTTCAAATAGGTCATACAAATTCTCACTTAACAAACGGGAAAAAAAATTGATACTAGTATTATTACATGTACAGTACATATAAGTTCTACCCTAAAGCTATTGGAAAATTCCTTAAAGTACATGTACATGTCAGAGGTTGACGTACTCATAACTCAACTGATTCCCCGGTTGTACGTAACAAGGAGTAGGGTCGTCTGTCCAACCTCGTGGGTTTTATCCCGGGTCCTCCAGTTTCCTCCTACTGCTAAAGACCCCTACGCGGAAGCGAATTATTGAAATGAAATTGAACCATATGTTAGTCCTTAAATGACCTAGTTTGTGTTGAGTGGACGTTAAACCCCATTTTTCTCTCCCTCTCACAACTCAACTTCATGATGAAAATCAATGATGTAAAGCAGTATTTTATAGAT